AACACCTGACCGTGTTTTCCTCCAGAGGGACGACCCGGTGTTTTTCTCTTGTATGGGGCACAGTTTTGCACTTTTGGAACCTGCTTTTTAGAATGATTTCATTTCTTGCAACTTCCTCTGTTGGCACAAAAAAGTAAACTATCCCTGAGATATTTTCTGTGCAGAATTTGTACAGTTCTAGCGGGCACATGATTTGATTAAAATGAGTTCTCTGAAGACTGGCTTTCGTTGCTTGCCTCTTCGTGGTGCCGCCAATACCGTCACAGGCATTCTTCCCGTGCGAGGTGGCAAAGAAGTTCCATTCTGCTTGAAGACCGAAGTCTTCATAGTGATGACATAAATTGGAAAGATTCTTTTTGTTTTTATATTGGCTTCCAGCGCCATCACTGAAATAAATAACTTTCCTGACTGAAGGCACATTTTCTTTTATATCGGCGATAAGATATTTTTGGAACACGTAAACTGTGGCTGTATCGTGCTTTACATGATCACTGATTATACACAAGCTTCGGCATTTTGTTATATTGTCCGCCTTGTAGTAATACACAAATGGGTGAAGTGTAGCCTGTTGATTTACCCAATGGAAACTTTGAATCTCGTCTTGAACGAGAAACGAATAGTTTTCTGCAAAATCTGCAAGAACGAGACACTGTGTTTCGTCCAGGCTTTCCCTCGTTTCTTTCAAATACTGGGACTGAATTTTAGCGACGTAGTGATGTTTTTTCAGTTCTGTCAGTTTTTCAATTAGAGATTCGCAGAATTCACTGTAAGTTTGCATTACAGAAATCATGTTAGCTCTGTCTGTGTTGACCCATTGTTTGTAGACTATTTGATCCGGCATGCTCTCAGATTCGGCTGATAGCAATTCCGTCAGAATTTCTTCTCCAGGGCAGTCTGCGCATTCATTACTCATGCACTTATAACTTTCGATGTCACAAACCATTACACGTAATAAATCCTTGTAGTCCGAATTCAATGTTGCTCCCTCTACCATCAGCTTAACATTTTGGTGATAGCTGCACACACAAACGGTATGAGTCCCCGATGCACCAGCAATGATACACCACTTCGGTCGAAGTGCACAAAATTTGGAGAAACCAATTTTGTGTTCAGGTTGCGTATTCTTAAAGTGAATGTAAAGTTCCATCAAATTGCATAGTATCAGCCGTTTCTGCATATGCTCTTTGATACCTCCCACGTTAACACTCACACAATCCTTTTTTCCAGGGCAGATCCTACTGTTTTCATTGTTTTCATAAAATTCCGTGACAGCCTGAATTGTTTCGTCACGAACTGGATGGCCACGCCTTTTGCCTAAATCCGGAAGGATCCCTTGCGTCTTCTGAAGCGCTCGAGTAATTCTAACCAAGTGCTCAGAAACTTGAAATTCTTGACTTATCTTCTGTCTTGACCACGAAGTTGGCAATAAGCTAATGATTTTAATTTTTTCCTCTTTGTTTGAGATTAAACATTTCTCCTTTAATTTGTTAATCAACAAATCATACTCCTCACTTAATGCAAAGGAAGGTATTTGTTCATCTGAATCAAGACCCATCGAGTCGTCTGAAAATGAACTCGCTAGTTTCCTTCGAAGAGAGTCGGATATTCTTCTACATTTTTTTGATAAAGCAGCGGGTCTTTTCCCAGTATTCATCTTCATAATTTTAGCCACAGGAGAAATATCTAGAGCCGAACATACTGCTTCTAATTCTGCCACATTTTCTTGCATAGGTGCAAACTCGCTCCTTCCAGAACCACTACTGCCCCCACTTACGGTTTCTTTAAGAACAAAAATCTTTGTGTAACAATTAGGACACAAGGATTTACCTGGTACTAGAGCTACCGGAAAATTCTTTTCTTTCTTGAGATGTTCTAATGAAATTTCACGTAAACCTTTCTTAATGGTTCGTTTGTGCACTTTTAGCGGGTCACAACAAATGTTTCCAAACAGGTGATTGTATTTAACAGAATATTTAATCTCATGATGCTTGCATATGGACCTCAAATCGCATTCACCCAATCTTAACTTTAAAACAGTTTGTTTCTCTTCACCCAATTCACTCACAAGCGTTAACTGTTTGTTGACGGCACCATACGTAGTCTTATGGCATTCTTCACGTGTGACAATACCTATAGAACATTCCATTTCAAAAACTTTTTCCTTTCGACTTAGAGAATACCGAGCTCGATACACGTAAAAGATCTACAGTTGCTGAACATACACTGACTTACAGTTCGAGACAGCATTCATGTGAATGCTTCATGCTGCTGAGAAAGCAGCCTAACACTAACATCACGATTACAAAAGTTTGGGTTCAGATGTCAAAACACACAAGGCGCGAAATAAGGGACGTAGATGTAGGTCCATGTTTATAGCCAGAGCTTAGCTCTAAGAACCGAGTGTTGATAACATGTCATTCCGAGCAGTAAGTACAGGCCTGAAAATGATTTTAGTGACAAAATATAGATCTCTCGTCTTTTATACCAAATAAAGAACCGGCAATACCATTGGATGCAGGTAAGCCAATTATCGAGGTATTGATTTTTTCGTAAAATTCAAAGTGCCCACAACATCGCTATTAGTTGAATATCAAAGTTGTAATTCTATCTCCAAGTTACTCTAGAATAGAGCATTATTTGCTATGAATTTCAAAATTTTCGGAGTTTCTCCACCGAAGATATGAGATGTTAAAAATGGTCGATTTTGGGCCCAGAGCAAAGTTTGAAATCTCCTTGAAAATTTTGGAAACTAGGTACGGGGTTCAAAACTACGTGATCATATTCCCCATGTAGGTAACAACAAAGGGTAGAAACCTCAGATCTGATACTTTCCCCCTCCCATTGGTTTTTGAAGGTCAAAAATAGCGGTTTTCCCAAAATCGATAGGTAAATTTCGAGCTTAATTAGACCTAGAGGAAGCGAGTTGAGTAAAACCTTGTAATAATATGATTTATAGTCCATATCATGGGGAACAAACTGATTTCTTATTGGAGTCCCTAGCTTCAATAGTTATCGAGATATGGAAGATAACGCAAACCTCCATTTCAGCCGAAAACGCGTTTATTCGCATTATAAGAACTTCGCCATTAATTGAATATCAAAGTTCTAATTTTAACTCCAAGTTACTCTAGAATAGAGCATTATCTTCTAGGAATTTAAAAATTTTCTGAGCTTCCCCACCGGAGATATGAGATGTTAAAAATGGCCGATTTGGGGCCCAGAGCAAAGTTTGGAAGCTCCTGGAAAATTTTGGAAACTAGGTACGGGATTCAAAACTAAGTGATTATATTCCCCATATAGGTAACAACAAATGGTAGAAATCACAGATCTGATACTTTCCCCCTCCCATTGGTTTTTGAAGGTCAAAAATAGCGTTTTTCCCAAAATCGATAGGTAAGTTTCAAGTTTAATTACACCTACAGAAAGTGAGCTGAGTAAAAACTTGTAATAATATGATTTGTAGTCCATATCATGAGGAACAAATAGCGTTTTTATTGGAGTCTGTAGCTTCAATAGTTATCGAGATATGGAAGATAACGCAAACCTCCATTTCAGCCGAAAACGCGTTTTTTCGCATTATAAAAACGCCTGTACCGAGAGAACTGAGCGGATTAGAATTTTTTAAAAAATTTTTTGTAGTATGAAAATATGTATAAATAAGTGTACAAAATATAATTTTTTTTAAAAATGGTGAGCGACCTTTCTGGATGATTTCACATGGAATGACCCATATGTATTTCAGACTGAAGAAAACAGCTACAGCTACTGAATGTATAATCCTTCCTCTCATAAAGCTAATAAAGGTAAAGTTATTCCTGTAACAGGCTGTGGAGGCCCACAGGGTTGTCAGAGGTAGTCGAGGCTTCCACATTTTGTAGACAATCACTCGTGGATGACAGTGAGATCATCAGACTTATGCACTGGCCTCTCTTTACCCCGAGGAAGATTCCTGGTACTAATTTCTGCCAGAGTCTACGAGTAAGTAGACCCCAGGCCATACTGTGCCTGGAAGGATTAGGTCAATCAAAAAATCCAATGACCTCATCAGGAACTGAACCCACAAAATTCCAGCTTGTAGCATTGTGCATCAAATAACTATGCTACCGGATACCCCTAGCCCCGATCTCATTACACTGATTAAATATTCATAAAGTAATGCTGCTTATTAATATCAGTATGACCCTCATAAGTCTATAGGCCAGTAAATGTGGAGTATGATGTCATACATTGCCATATTTCTGAGCGCATGGTGAGAATTCAGCTGCCTTTTGAGCTTGTGTGCTGGAAAAAGTTTTTCCAGGGTGGTAGATTGGGAAACCCTGGCCAGTGTGGGTTCATTCATTCTTAATGCTGGCACATACTTGCTGGGACATATTGCTATGTGTCTAGGTACTGGATCACTGGTGCATAAACTCCAATGAATATGCTACATTAATGCTGCTGTATATAGATTTCAAATTGGGGTAGAAGCTGCTTACATAATAGACTGACTACAGTTCTTAAATGACTGTTATACAGTTAACAGAGATACTGCGTGAGTGACAAATACACATGGATTGTCTCTTTGAGGAAAAAGTAACTGATTTCAATGCTTCCTAATGCAGTAATGCTGAGCAATACTTTCATCAGTATATTTTATATCTTTATTTATGGTTTATTTAATCACACTGTCAGTATCTTGGACTATACAGCACTGAATGATAGGCCTACCATTCAGTGTTATATAGTCCAAGATACTGACAGTTTGAATAATAAATTGGAAAATATGTGGAAGAATGTGGTCACGACCTAATCTGTGGTACTGCCATGGGATCTGCTTAGAGGAAAACCATGAAAGACTGCAGAAAGGATAGCTTGTCTATGGGCCAATATTTGACCACACGACTCCCCTGAATATGAAGGAGTTATGATTGACTGTGGTTAACACTGTAAATGGACTACATTTGGTGCATCCCTAATAACATCTGGATACCTCTTAAAGTGTGTATGTGTGTTCTTACAGAGCGAAGCCTCAGATAGACATGAGCAGATGACACTTTGTCGACATGGAACCAAACATCTTCTGGCCAACCCCACTTGATGAGCTCTTCATCTGAAACAAGGTGACATCATCCATGAATCCTATGACACCTTAGAAGAGATAAACATGAACTTCCTTGTATTCATGCCAATAACACATACTATATGGACAATAAAAAATATTGTACATGGAGGAATCAAGAATTTCCCAGAATTCAGGCATAATATTTCGTGAAAANAAACACATTCACTCTATGGGCAACTGCGGAACACTAATGTGTCTTGGCCTGTTGCAACTTGCTCCACAAGCAACACAAGTCCACTCCTGTACACTTCACCACCCATCTATTTAACAGGAAGTGCAATTACCTTGATATGACTACATTCTGGGAACTTTTTGATCCTTTCTTGCAGATGTATACAGTGCACACTTAACAGAAAGAAACTGTAAATAACAAGCTAATCCATGATCTGCAAATTACTTATATGATAAGAAAATATAACTTATGTGAGAAAGGGAATGATATTCTTTAATTTGGGAGGTGTCTTATATTCTGCCAATTAAATAATTAAGAGCACAGTGAACTCTTGTCTATAATAAACAAACATTAAATTCACATTCAACTACTCACTGTTAGTTCACACTTCCTCAAAATAGCAAGAAGTTGAAACTATATAGCTACAGAATTAATACACAATCAATAATAAAGCTTTGCTGTTCACTGTTATCATATGCACTAAAAGGACTAAATGCACGCCATTTGTTTTAATATAGGCCTATGATTCAAAGCCATACTGTAATACAGTATTAGACTTAATTTGTTTTCAATGTAACCAAAATGTAATCAAAACTATCTTCTGTACTCTTTCCTTAATTGCGATCTTCTCTTGGAACAATTAAAGCAATTATTTTTCTGCAGACTGACCAGCTATGGCCAAAAAGAAATGAAATAAACAGCACGACCAACTATATTTGAATATATACATACAAGGTGGTTCAAATATGACTGGTACTGATTTTTTTTAAACCATAATTGCCAAACACATACTTGCACATGTCAGTCTTCAACATACTCCCTTCTGGAGTCAACACATTTTTTCCAACGTTCTGGAAGCATCCTGATGTCCTTTACAAAAAAGGCTTGTGGTTGGCGGCATATCCGCTCCCGAACAGTCTGCATGACGGTGTCATTGTCCACAAACCGCATGCCTTGCAAGTCTGATTTGAGCCTTCCGAACAGGTAGAAATCACTTGGTGCCAAATCAGGACTGTATGGCGGATGTGTCAGAAGGTTCCATTTCAATTTCTGGAGGGTTTCCAGTGTTGTTTTGGACATATGGGGGTGGGCACTGTCTTGAAGGAAGGCTACCCGTTTTCCACCTGTCTTCCGCTTGGACCAGACCTTTTACTTCACATCTGTTGCCAGGAGGTCTGAGTAATAAGCTGCATTGACTATTCTGGCATCTGTCAGAAAGTCTACGTGGATAACCCCCCGCTAGTCCCAGAAGAATGTTGCCATCAGTTTTCCTGCTGAATGGCTCCTACATACTCTCTTGGGTTTGGGAGAACTGGTATGCCGCAACTCGCGTGATGACTGCTGGGACTCGGGAATGAAGTAGTGCACCCACGTTTCATCGGTGGTCACTGTAGACTTCAAAAATGCATCACCTTCATCTTCAAACTGCCGTAGGAGACGACTTGCAGCTGCATGCGCACCATTTTGTTCACGTCTGTCAAAGTGCGTGGTACCCACCATGCATACCCCTTGCGATAGTGCAGGTGGTATTTCACAATGTCTTCTACACTACCAACACTGATGGACAGCATTGCTCCAAGTTCCTTTATAGTGATGTGCCTATTCTCACGAATAAGTGTGTCTGCACGATCAATGTTTGGCTTGGTGACGGATGTTCACCGCCGACAATCATGTGGTTCATTCTCCACGCGCTCTCTGCCCTCTCTGAAGCACTTACACCACTCAAACACACGGGTCCATGAGAGACACTCTTCCCCGTACTGTTGCTGGAGTCTGTGGTGAACTTCAGCGGATGGGACATTTTCTCCGAGGAATTTGATCACAATGCATTGTTCCACGCTCCATAGTACCTTCTGTTCGCTCATCACTCTAGCAACTCCCAGACAGGACTGAACAGGTTCTAACCCAAACAGGAGGGAGGGTGGAGGTTGTGGCTTCACTCTCTCAAGGTCGCACAGCTGCTGCGCAGTGCTGATTGCTTACAGACAAATCAGTCCCGGTCATATTTGAACCACCTTGTACATACATATATACAGACACAGATATTTGGATGGGAGGAGGGACTGCTTAATTATTATGGAGAATAAGAGGCTTCAGTAATATTCAGCTATGTCTGGGAGACTGATGTTGATTGTGGAATATATAGTTTGGACATACAGGTACAGTGTATTAATTCTTGTTTTCAATTACCTCACAAACCATAAGACATGGGAAAAAGTTTACTGAATGTAAAATATGTTTCCCTTTTCTCTATAAAATCAGTCTGAAATATATGTGGTCTGACAGTAAAGTTCACAAACTCATCACGGTAAAAGTGCTACATACATCATTGCTGAGTATCACTGTGATCGCCTTCAAAGTACTCCCCCTTAAGACACTACGCACCGATGCCAGCACCTAAGCCACCCTTCAAGACAATTTTGGAACTGGTTTTGTGGAATGGCCTCCAGAGCTGCCATCGTATTACTCCTGATGTCATCAATGTTATCAAAATGCCTTCTTTTCAATATTTCCTTTAAGTTTTGGAGCAGAAATATGTCACTGAGGGTGAATAGGGAGGGTGTTCCAGCACAGTTATTTGTTTATTAGCTAAAAAGTTTCTCACAGGCAGTGCTCTAATTCAAGCTGTGACTTTCTCACAATGGCACACCAAAACATGCTTAGACAATAACAATCACCACTCAGAAAGAGACCTGCAACAACAGCACAGCTGTGAACTGCTGATATGCCAATATCATCAAACCATACTGAGGATTCCATTCATTGCTGCCATGGCTAGCACACGATGGCAAGTTTACGAACATTATTGTCAGACCTTGTATTTCATCGTGACAAATATTTAAGTCATACTTGAGATATGCATGTTGTCTTCAGGTAAAACATCCATAATTTTGACTAATTTTACACAAAACTGGAATGTACTGACAAGTGTTAGTAAAACCTCCATTATCAAACATCATGAGAATCAAGAAAGTCGTCTTCTGGGATCTGGCGCCGTGTATTCTTGGTTTCAACTGATGTTCCTCTGAAACGTCGGTGAAAACCAAGAATACATGGCGCCAGATCCCAGAAGACGACTTTCTTCATAGTCATCGCCGTGAAAACCTCAAAAATTACATCATGAGAATCAGTTTAGCAGTTCACAAGTAGTTTCATGTGTACAGACATATGGAAAACAAATGGACATGGCTATCATAACAGATATTCTGCTGGGTTGTGAATGTGCCTAAAAGCAGATGGTAATGACAGTCTCCTAACTTTGTTATGCAAATTGCAACAAATGTCTAATATAAACTTATGTTCCCACTATGAATACAGCCAGGTTCAGACAATGTCCTTTTATCATAAAGGAAAGAGGTATCCTTCACATATTGTGGCATAACCTACATGAAGATTATCAGGGGATCTGCCACAAATTCTTCAGCCCGTACAGCGGGATGGGACCATGATACTCATGTCAACATAGTGTGACATGTTGACCCCTACCTCCCCAGCGGCACGTAGCGGTAACATAGCGCTCGCGTAATAGGCACCCCGCAACTCTCCCCGCGCTGACGTCACGAGCGGAGCCAAAGTGAGCCGAGTGGAGCCGAAGTTAGCCAAGTCCCCGCAACCTTGAAGCTATGCAAAGCGAGTCAACAACGGTGACGTCACCAAGGGGTAACAGCGTTGCTAGGCTATACGCCACGTCACACTAGCAACAGCGAACGGAATAAAAGCCGGCTGAGCAACAAGCGAGAGTCAGTGTGTTATCAATGAGTTCTCAATTCGCAAGTTAAGAGCTACAGACGTGTGTGCACGAATCAGTGATAGTTCGTGATAACCAGTTATATTTGGAGTGTGTAATTCAGGGAGACTTGTATAGCTCCCGCGTTATTAATACGTGAAGACTCTGGAAGATAGTGTTAAGAGATTTTGTTGTAGGGTTTGTAAAGTGTGGAAACCCGTAACATTGTGATAATTAATTGTAGCCGTTGTTTGTAGATTGTTCAATAAACCAATTAACGATCTCTACGGCGTTTCTGTAACGAAACACGTTACACTATATTAACACTAATTCAGACTTCTGGTGTAGGTGACAGGCTAACAGTCTGTGCTAATTATAATTTTTCTTCAATACTGCCCCCACAAATCTTTGAACAGCTACTATGAAGCAAACTTATGTGTTATACCCCTGTCAACCACAATCTCAAGACCCTGTTATTATATTAAACATTCTTGTGCTCAAATGCCATGTCTGAGGTACAAACTGAATCAAGTGTTCATGTACAATACCCACATGAATAGTACAGAGAATAATCTGGCATAAATTTCAAAATATTAGTTTCAAACAGAAAATAATATTCATACACAGGGTTGTTACTGGACAAAAAAAATGGTGAGTTTCCTTATAAAAATTCCTTAGATGTTTTGCAGAAGAGACAGGGGCTTAGATTTTCAGGTTACTGGTTTCAAGCTTACTTTATCTCTGAAAAGGATTCTCAATGCCTGACTGTGAACATCTTACAGATGTGCAATGAATGCACAGATAATTTCAGGAACCACTTCCAGCAACTGCTGTGATCTGGTTGGGCTTTATAGAGCTCTATCTTCTGGGATATACCACCATGTAGTCCCATTGCTTACTGCCTGCTCCATCCTTGTTTCTTGCTTGCTTACTCTTCAACCTTGAAGATGGAGGATATACGTTCTTTTGAAATGTCAGCTGACTTTCATTTGCATTAAGGCACAATCCTTCATAGGCATTACTTTCAAATCCTCCAATTCAAAATGTGTGGGCTTTGTCTGTGATTTGTTGGCTCCTTGGCTTATAGACTGCATCGCAGTCTGTACAACTGCAGAAAGAGTTAATATGAGGAACTTATAGTAGTTAATGAGAAATCCGTTTGGCTTTACCTACAACTCCTTTACAATGCCTGATTAACGCAAGCACATGGCAATAAAATATGGCATGTCATAAGCACTTACTTTCATATTGGTCCACTCCCATAAACAGCGGGACTCCCGGTGATACAACTGTAATTAACCGTGCGTTATACATTAATATGATGGTATGATTAAATATCTTATTATTATTTTGTCATCTAGTATAAACGATGACGGATTCTATATCTACGTACATAGATGTCCGGAAGACACATTAAATATGATTATATGCACTATCTTAATGATTCTTCATATGAAAACTATTCACAAAACTTAGCATTATTATTACCATGACTTGTAAAATAAAAAACCATTGTTGTTAATGTGCCTAAACAAACACTTTGATGCTTCAACACCTAAACAACCTCAACCTTCCATTAACAACATCAACAACATTGTCTGCTAGGTTGGTATTGTATTGTGGGTATCAGTGAATTTCGGTAAAGAGAATATGTTGGTAGTATGCGTAGTATGCGTGTTACCCGTGTTAGCGTTGTGGCTGTACGAGCTTGGAATAATGAGCTGTTACGAATGGTTAGAAGGGTTAGAAGTGTTTTATTGCTCACAATGCTTGTAGTATGTAATGGGTACCTGTCCCATCAAGAATTTCAGAAAGTTTGACACTGAAATGGGTACTTGTTAAATTTAGTATCGCAATTTTTGGAGGGAAAATGAAGCTTGTAAAGATGAGAGGATATTAATAGTTGAAGGGATTTTGGACTTTGCCATTTATTCGGTATTCTAGAAACTGGGAAACAGTGTTTCGGAAAGTGGATATGTTTCGGTCCTCAGGTGAGGGGGCAACGACTGTTTAATCACTTGAGACTGCTTGAGACAATGTCTAGTATTAAATAGCTGTAGCTAATGTGACGAGGGTTGTCCAGTGATTGAGGTTAGGGCTTTCTAAGGGACACGACAGATTAGGTGTCTTCTCCGTAACTTGAGGATGGAAACGGTTTCCGAAACGTTGTGTTTTATAGTTTCTAGAATACCGGACGATGGAAAAAGTTTAAAACCCGGGAATTTTGAGTATTATATACCACCATCAGAACCCTTTAGAATCTACATGACTTGATGTATTTGAATGCAGTAATCCATGTCCTTGAACAGAAGGCCTTTATTACAAGGTGACGACTCATGCTGTAAATACTGAGGTCTTAATCAAAGAAAATTTTGGATACTGTAATGTACCCATAAATCAAGCATCATCACATGTCTATTATTTAGTTACACATCTGTAAATATGGTGGTAACAGCTTGTTTACCATTCCAGAATATGATAAGTTAATGTGATGTAATAATCCATCATTCAAATGCAGTGCCATTGTGGATGATGAGGGTAACTGACAGTTGTTTGGTTAACTAAGCAAACATGCCTGATACAGGTGCAGACTAATGATAATGTGAGATCGTGCAAGTTTCAAAATGCAGAAAATAGTGTTATGAATGGGACACATGTAAATTGTATGTAGCCTGGGAAACATACCATTCTGAGTTTTTATCAACATGGTTGTCAATATTCAATAGCGGTTTAACTTAAGTAAGGTAACTGGTTTCTATGTGGCCACGGGGTAGTGTAGTTCGTTTAGGCACTATCTACAAGCAGGAAGGTCATTGGATCGAATCCCAATGAGATGAATTTCTTCAATTTACATAATCCTTCCAGCCACACCATGGCCTTGGGGTCGACTCAGCCTCTAACAGAAATGAGTACCAGGAATATTCCTGGGAATAAAGGGCAGCTAGCACGTAAGGCTGACAATCTTGCCGCCATCTATGAGCCCATTGTCTAGAAAAGGTGGGAACCTCAACATCTTACAACCCTATGGGCATCCACAGCATGTTACAGGGATAGCTTTACTTGTTTACTTTTATCTGTTTCTTACTTACATTATTTTTGGGGCGTTAGGATATAATTCCCAACAAGGATAACAGATTTTTGTTTTCACCACAACATCCATTTTGGCTTAGGGGCCTACTCAGCCTCCTATCCAGTGAGTATTAAGGTGCTTTCTGTGGGGGTAAAGCAGCTGGGGCTTGAAGCTGATCCTTCACTTCCATCTAATGCTGAGCTCAAGTAAACATGGAGCTATACATCCATTGCCCCATCTTAACTCTTTGACTGGCACGAAGGGTATTTAAATCCCATCCCTGTCCTGGCAGGCCCTTTAAACCTTATGTCGCTAAAATGCATATAGTTACTTTTTCCTAAACAACTTCAAGAAAAATTGGTTTTTAAAAACGAAATTTTCAGGAACTAATTGAAATACAATATTTTATGCAATAAATGACTTTCCATACCTCTTTATTAGTTTTCATTCGTGTGATAAACATTGAAACATGAAAGTTTGCAGAGAGCCACACCACAGCCTNTGAATGAATGTGAAATATTTTCTGACCTTTTCCTTCTCAGACGGTTCTGACAGTAATATAGACCCCCACAAAGTTTATAAGGGTTCTTTACAAACATGCACATGAATGAATGTGAAATATTTTCTGACCTTTTCCTTCTCAGACGGTTCTGACAGTAATATAGACCCCCACAAAGTTTATAAGGGTTCTTTACAAACATGCACATGAATGAATGTGAAATATTTTCTGACCTTTTCCTTCTCAGACGGTTCTGACAGTAATATAGACCCCCACAAAGTTTATAAGGGTTCTTTACAAACATGCACATGAATGAATGTGAAATATTTTCTGACCTTTTCCTTCTCAGACGGTTCTGACAGTAATATAGACCCCCACAAAGTTTATAAGGGTTCTTTACAAACATGCACATGAATGAATGTGAAATATTTTCTGACCTTTTCCTTCTCAGACGGTTCTGACAGTAATATAGACCCCCACAAAGTTTATAAGGGTTCTTTACAAACATGCACATGAATGAATGTGAAATATTTTCTGACCTTTTCCTTCTCAGACGGTTCTGACAGTAATATAGACCCCCACAAAGTTTATAAGGGTTCTTTACAAACATGCACATGAATGAATGTGAAATATTTTCTGACCTTTTCCTTCTCAGACGGTTCTGACAGTAATATAGACCCCCACAAAGTTTATAAGGGTTCTTTACAAACATGCACATGAATGAATGTGAAATATTTTCTGACCTTTTCCTTCTCAGACGGTTCTGACAGTAATATAGACCCCCACAAAGTTTATAAGGGTTCTTTACAAACATGCACATGAATGAATGTGAAATATTTTCTGACCTTTTCCTTCTCAGACGGTTCTGACAGTAATATAGACCCCCACAAAGTTTATAAGGGTTCTTTACAAACATGCACATGAATGAATGTGAAATATTTTCTGACCTTTTCCTTCTCAGACGGTTCTGACAGTAATATAGACCCCCACAAAGTTTATAAGGGTTCTTTACAAACATGCACAAAAACTATCATATATATTTCTTTGGTTGATGAGTGCCAAGAGAGCAAAGAAGGGAAGAGATTGTCAAAGCGTTAAAACACGCCAACGCCAGGGAACGGCTGGCATCGTCCGGGCGTTAAAACACGCCCGCGCCAGTCAAAGAGTTAATGGCATGCTGCTTAGTCGTACACAGGAACAAGTTTACTTTTATCTTTTAGTGTATTTCCATCGTTTTTCTTCTTTGAAAATAGGTGTGGATAATTCTTATTGTTACCCCAAAAAAATATCTTTTTTATGTAAATCAGATATTGGACAGGTCATTTTGCTTTTGTCATATATGAGGAATATCATGAAATTCTTAAGAGGAATGTCACGAAGTCCTTCAGTCAACAAGGAGAATGCATATGAATAGTTAATGAGACTATAACATCTCTTTAAAACTGTAAAATTGTAAAAGTCGTATATTCTCATTGATGCTCTTGATGGATATATTGTGTACAGGTATGTGAAACAAAAAGTGTGAGTGACAAGGTTTAACTATATGTAATAACTATATGTACTGCCTGCTTTAATATTAAATAAATCACATATTGCCCACAGGCTAAATTGTTTTATATGATCAGCTTCGAACTTATTATTTCTGTGTTATATTTACAGACCATACAAAAACAAGTCAGAATCTGTAATACATGATACACATAATACACAGCACAGCACTAATTTGACAATGTTGTATCAAATAACAGTTTATATCAGCGGACTTGGACATAACCTTAATTTTAACCATTTTAAGTTTAGCACTATAGTTAAGTGATTCAGATATTTTAAATGTTTTATGTACCCATATTGTAAAAGTTTTCTTAAATATTTGGATTCAGGCATTTTATAACTGAAACATGTTGGGGATATAACAGTATTTGATCAATAAAAAGAAAATAAATTTGATGTACTTGGATGGTGATTTCACTTTTTATTTTAATATAATGTATCTTGCAGACCCATTGCTAGGTAATGGCCCATACCCATGCAACAGAGAACATGTCACATCTGCAGTGGCATCTCACAACAATAGAAGAGATGTTGCATGCAGTGTTCTCTGTGGGCCTGTTCCCAGCCTATATGACTTGACCAGAGTTCAGTTCAGTTAGTGAGTGCAATGCAGTTGAGTACAGTGGAGTGGAGCTAGTTAGTTGGTGAGTGAGCGAGTTAGAGGACTGCTGTGGTTCAGTCCTTGTTAGCCATTGCTGTTAGAAGCTGGTAGCAGAGATACAGGGATAGTTTGGGAGCCCAGAGTAAGGGAATGTCCACAGTTGAAGCCATTACCAGGTAACGACTGCTGAAGATACAGCAGACTGAGAAGACTCAGTACATACTGCAGTGAACTGCTGAGTGTGTGAATTAGTGATAGCACTATAGTTACTGGTAGTTACAATCTGTAAGTGACAAGTAAATCAAATTACCAATCCAAACCCTATCTATAATCACTGATACATGTGGCAATATGAAGTATACTGATGAAATTAACTCTCTTAAACAACTGCTTCCATAAACACCATTAATTGGTTGGTCAATTAAATGGGAATGCAGGGTGTCTTCTGTAGGTAGGAATTGACTTTTTAAATATTTAGATGAACACTGGGCTAGGAAAAGTTAGAAAAGTGTAAGATAGTTGTGTGCATAGATCATTTACTGATAATTTATCAATAGTATACATGCATCTGTCTCCCTTTATTTTCCCTGTTGCTCCCACTTTGGAGCATGGGGCATCCATGAAACACTTTGTTTCACTTCAGTTTCTTAATACTAAGACATTCAGTAGGACTCTGTTGCAAGGAGTATATATGCATAAAGCATGAAGAAGTCTGAATTAAGTAACATTTGGTTTATTTTGAGTAGGTTTTTTATTTATTTTTGTGACCTTTGGCTGGTAAGCATTTATTAATCTTGAGTAATTTACATATTATTCATATTCCCAGGTGCTTTCTTTCAGAGCATATGTTTACTTATGTTCAAAATGACATCAACTCCTGTGAATTATAGTGAAAACCTGTTACAAAATGTTCATGAGGGTACTGAGCCTCCTACCACAAATGGCACTACTTCAGTAATTCAAGGATCTTATCATTATTATCATTATGGCTGTGATGGTATGAATGACAAGGTAAGGGCACAGGGTAGTATATGGCTGTAGAATTAACCTATGAGGTGTAAATGCAGAAATCCAATTTTGGAGAAGGTGGCTAAGAAACAGAGTACAGAGCAGTTTCTTTTACTGCAAAATGTGTGCAGTGTACAGCTTTCAGCAAAGGGGTGGAACTTATATACTTCCCATTTTCCATTCAAACTCGTTTTGATTTCATGACTTAATTTAATTGCTTTTCAAACCATTTCTTATACACTTCTAAAATTTGTCTTCCTTCATTGTTTCTGTTGCCCTCACCAAAATGTCCCTTCATCTGTGCATATCCTCTTGTTTCCTTTTACTTTTTAGATGCATCTTATCCAATCAGGACTGACACTTTGCTTTAAAATGTAAATGATCTTTCCTAAAATGCAATATAAATTGCTTCGAACATGAATAAATGTGTAATTAGGTTGTACAGCTGCATCATGCCCCTACTGTTTGTACTTCTTTATTTTTAATGTATGCATCTTGGCCACATGGTTTAAATTGGGAAGGGATTTTGGCTATTAAGAGTAACTGGCTTCAGTCCTATTCAGAGCATGGAAGTTTATTTACATATATGTATGTCATCTTGTGATGGCAGTGGCCTTGAACTAAGTTTTCCATTGTATTTGATTGTGTAGACCATATCAAATTGTGTTTCATTAAAAGTTTTGTATCTTAATGAGCTCTGTATTATGTGCCATTTACTGTTTTTTTGTTGGGTGAATGGCAGAACAACAGTAAATTGCCTGATAACTTTTCGTTTAGACCACTGATATCTCATTTTGTTGCAATTTGAATGGTCAGATGAGCAAATGTGTATTCACAGCCTTTCCAATGTTTTTTTTTTTCCACTCCGAATGTATGTGGCAACATAGTTAACCAAATTAACCCTGTTGTAGTAGAACCAAAAGGTTCAACACCACTGATACAAAGCCCAATGTTGGAAGAAGAATTTTTCTAACAGGTATCTCTGCAAACATATTGTATGCATTTATCTTTCCCATCCTAGTTACATGTGCAGCCATCATATCTCCCCTACATTCGACTGTTCTAACACCAATATATGACCCATATTATTTACAAAATGCCTTGTGTGTAATATCGTAAGTTGTCTGCTTACATCTTCCTTCTTAGGTTCAAATATTCTTCACATGAACTTTGTTTTCAGAAATGAGTAATGTATGTCCTACCCTAAAGGAAAGTGACTACATTACACACATATCACATCCATATGGAACAATTGGCAAAATTGTTTCAAAACTGGTCTTCTTTTATGTGATACCTTGCAGTCTGGTAGATGGTTACCAATGTTCTATAGGAACATAATGCTCCATGTTTGGCATAGAACTTCTGCACTGAATATGGGGGCAGAAAGTTCTTCTAAAATGTCAGTAGCTCTCTACCAGACTACACATCATCATCCCACAAGATCATTTTTAATATTCACCAGCATGGGAACCTCAGAACTAATAAAATTCTTTTGTAGATCTCCAGCATTTTTTTAAAGTAAACTGAATGGTAACAAGCCTTTTTCAGTTTATTATTCTGCTAATTTCATCATGAACATCTTTACTGACTGTTAGTGTTGTTCTCAGATCCCTAAATTTGTAAACACTCTTTGACATTCAGATTCCAAATTCCTAGGGCTGGGGTTGTGGCTACCGCACTCTGCAGACCATCTGTTCATGGATAAGAGGCACTATAGAACATTCCCCTGCAGTGCCCAGCATCCCTGCTATTCAGCAGATATTGATTCATTTGGAAGATAAACCTTCGGGTTTCATGGGATCTCATGATTGGATTGGCAGCTTTGAGGTTTGTATTTTAAATTAAAATGATGCACATATATTCGGCAGAAATATAACAAATTGGAAAGGATGAGAATCCCATCCTCATTTCCAGTTATTTTCATTACAAGAGTAAACTTTAATTTCTTAATTTTAATGCTATTTATTTTAACTACTATATACTGTGATAGTGACTAGAAAAGCAACCATATCTAGAATGGGCACTTCCTATATTACGATAAGAGAGCTATTTGAACTACTCCTCTAGTAAGGTAGTCCCATGTTTCAGCTTCATATTTCAGTGATACAGGTTCCAAATCTTCATACAGTTTGTTTTTTCTATTCCAGGAAGGGAATAGCTTTTTAAAACAGACTGCTTCCGTGTAATATTATTAATTATCCTATTCTATGCATTAAATAAATACACCTTTTACAAATTTCCAGACCATAGAAAATACACTTTATCATTAATCGTCCTACTCCCTGCACTTAATACACACACCTTGCAGGGACTTCAAGGCCATAGGAAATGTACTTAACCCTACAAAACAGACAAGTCAAAGGTAAAATTGTAATGTTAGAGCCCTCATGAGAGATATGTGCAAATATCTGTCTTACTCTTCCACAGTTTATCAAAAAAATTATTTATTATCTGCATTTACTCAGAGTAGGAGTAAATAATAATGAGGACAGCTCTAGGTCAAGTGGTACATATGTTTAATGTAAATCAGTGCACCCTTGTACTCAGGTTTTTGCAGCCTGTGTCTAATGTGTAACTTTGGCTTTTGGGGTTTGGCTGCATTGTGTGCTGATGTCTCATAGTACGATACCTTCATATACAGAGTGTTTCACGACTTTAGGGCATAACTGCAGGAGGTGATTTCCTAGATCTTTGTGATCAAAAAAGTTCATATAAACATGTGTCCGATTACGGAGTTATGACCGTTTTTTCATTCCTGTACACGCCCTCGCGTGAACTGCGTCTTATCATCTAACAGGTTGCTATTTTTAGCCAGCTACAGACAGAGCGTTCTTGTTATCTCAACACTTGAGAGATACCTAAGGCGTGGTGGGTTGGTATGTCCGGCCACAGACCCGTGTGGTTCACAACTGAGTGGCAGCCTGTGTTGTGGCCAGCGGTGGCATTTTCGAAAATCAGCTTTAAGCACCAATAAATTCAAATTAAAAGTAATTTCACAAAGTTAACTTTACATTCATACTTTAAGTGTATCATGTATTATGCTGGTTTATTATTTTGTTCTGTTTATTGTCAGTAATCGTTACATTCTATTCTGAGTTTAAAACGGTCATAACTCCGTAACCATCAAAAATTGGACACATGTTTATATGAACTTTTTTGATCACAAAGAACTAGGAAATCACCTCCTGCAGTGATGCCCTAAAGTCGTGAAACACCCTGTATATTGGGTTTCTTCGTTCTCCTGTCTCATTGACCTTAAAGCTGGCAACTGCAATGTATGCTGATATGTTACAACATATAGTGCAACTTAACCTTGACGTTTGAAGTTACACACAGTATAAGATAGCTTGTTTATCAGTGATCTATGAAAATCTCAATGTTCCATCAGGTGTGCTTGGTTGTGGACCATCTTTATGGTGTGTCATCAAAAATAATCCATGTGACTAAAGGTTCAGATTTGAATCAACATATGCCATCATTAATTGAACATTTCAATAGATATGGAAGCCCTCTTATGATGGGTGGTGATCAGGATTGCTCTGCAAAAGCTGTGATGGGAATACATGCTTCTGACAGTGATGTGTACCTTCTCATTGTGGTAAGATTACATTACATTACATATGTGTGATTTCTTTATATTTTGTGAAAATCAGTGATGTGCTTCATTACAGTTCACTCTTATTTAATATACATGCTTAAGAAAAACTGGCCAGTTCTAAACATAGATTAATGCTTCTGATTCCGTAGGATCCTCATTACTGTGGCAGAGCAAGAAGTTGTCAAGAATTGCAAAAGAAAGAATGGGTAAAGTGGCAACATATAGATGAATTTGTACACAGCTCTTTCTATAATATATGTCTTCCTTTGTGCACTGGAAATGGTAACATCAGTGGAGATAAAAATAATGCTGTCATCAAAGTGAAGAAAATAAATAGAACTAAGAAAATTTAGAGGAACATACTGCCTCCAGCTTCAGGAAACAGGTGTACCGTGCAGGAGGTGGCAGTATGTTCCCTTGAAATGTTAGTATGCATCTAAATTACACAGTGTAATAACCCATGCTAGATGTGTACCTTGAGGATTGAGAGATGTGGTTCTCTGAAATGTTTGTACCCATCTACCAAACTACAGTGTCATAACGTGTGAGACCGCAGTATGAATCTTCACTACCATGAAAACCTCATATCTCATCTGAGATGATTTCTGTAAGAATTTTGTCTTTAATCTTAAATAAAACTAATCTTTCATAAACTTGGGGGGGGGGAAGAGTAGGGAAAATAGATATAGCATATACCACATGGATAGTAACATTAATCCCAAGAAGGAAAGAAAGAAAATATATTTTGAATTTTGAAGTTCTGCTTGCAGTGTATTTTTAAATTTATGTGGGTATATAATGCAGTAATGTTATAAACACACTGTAACATTTATGTATAAGAGTGTTTTAATTCAAGCATAATTTAATCAATAGAATAAAATCTAAAATAAATTAAATCATGTGTATGTAGAATGTGTTCTCATTCTTGGTAGCTGAGTTGCATTTGATATCAAATGGCAATTAAGTGACATTCACTCACTCACTCACTCATGGAGCTGAGCCCTTCTTGAGAAGCCACCAATTATGCAGCTACTCAAGAATTTCACAGTATTTTATTGAACCCGAAGGTTCATTACCGTGTTCACAAGAGCCCTCCACTGGTCCCTATCCTGAGCCAGATCAATCCAATCCATCCTATTTCTCTAAGATCCATTTTAATATCGTTCACCAACCTACGCCTTGGTCTTCCCAGTGGTCTCTTTCTTCTGGCTTTCTCACCAATATCCCATATGCATTCCTCTTCTCTCCCATCCGTGCTACATGCCCTTCCCACCTCATCCTCCTTGACGTGATCATTCTAATTATACTTGGTGAAGAGTACAAGTTATGAAGCTCCTCATTTTGCAGTAATTGACATTACTTGGCAAATATCTTAGCACATTCAGCACTGTGAAAATAAGAGCAAATGAAAAGAAGGTGAGGCAGGTGGTGACAGGAACTGATTAACTCTGACCATTCTGTTGTTCGTTCAGGGAGGCACTGACCTTCGATGTACAAAAGTCTGAATTATTGTATTTGCTTTGTCAGTCAGTGCATACTTGTTTTTTCTCGCTTGCTGATGTTGTGTCTGTTCTGATTTTCATATTTATGTAGGTGAAGTAGTACATATGTTATATTTTAGCGTCCTGTTGCACTGATTTAAGTCCATGATTTATTTAATCCGTCTTGCAGTGCATACACTCATTTATTTCCTTCTCTCCCTCGCACTACATGTTTCGGCATAATAATGCCATCTTCAGGTGCTTACTTATCCACGTCAAACCAGTTCATTGCATGCCATGTTCACACATTAAAATAACTAAAATATGTATCTATCATATACATTGTCAA